CACCGCCTGTGCCGGGCGCTGCCCCAGCACCACGCACCTGCCAGCCCAGAGCCCGTGCCTGGCTCACCCCCCTGCCCCTGCCTGCCCTGGGCCCCAGGTGCCCCGCAAGGCAAGGGGCAAGACCGTGGTGGTGCCCAGCTGAGTGCCCTGCTGCCAGATCGGGCCCTGCTGCGCGGTGCCGGCCGTTGTGCCTGCAGGACCTGGGCTGAGCGCCGTGGCACTGCACTGCACCGAGTCCCGCGCCTGCCTGCCGGATCGGGGCCTGGTGCACAGGTGCCGCGCTGCATTGAGCCCTGCTCTGCCGCCCAGGATCGGCCCTGATGCATTGACACTTGGTGGCACTGAGCGCTCTGCTCTGGTGGCTTGTAGGCTGCATCCTCTCCCTCCGCTCTGACCGCCAAATTCAGCACCTCAAAGCCCCCATCCGTGCCAGTGGAGCCTGGGCTGGGTGGGAAATGGCTTGTTACTTTCAGTTTGGGGATTTAGACTCAGAGCTCCTGCTTCAGTAATTCCCCACCTGACTCACGGGGTGACCTTGGGCAGCTTCTTCAGGCTCCTTGAACTGGGGAGCTGGGTTTAAAAATACCAGGTGTCTGGTTGGCAGCAGGATGCCGAACCAGAGCCCAGCCGAGCTTCTAGACCTGAAGGATTTCAGTGTTTCTGAGCATTTGTGTAAGGATTGGAGCCTCATCAGGGCAAGAGCAGGTGCCTGGCAGTCACTGCAATGTGCCCCTGAGCTGGGGACTGTGGTGTGGCTCAGCCAGTTTAGTGAACATTTATTGCTGGGGAGGCAGGGGCTTTGATCCTGCTAGGTTGTGACCAACATTTCACAGAAGCTGGAAGTATAATAAAGTTCTCGGCCCACAGGGCCTCTGAGTAGCTGCAGGGCTGCTGCTAAGGCACAGGGGCATGTGCATGGCTGACAGCAGCTTGATCCGGGTGGGCTGGCAGCAGGCACTGGAGTGTGAGTGGGGGTATGGGCTTCCCAGGTCCCAGTAATCCCCTGAGTAGGGAGTGATTTTGCTACTTTGGGAATGGGCAGCCACTGAAATGTGTGAGGGGAAGGATAAGCTGGGTGAGTGAGTGTGTGCAAGTGTGTGTGTGTATGCATGCATGCATGCAAGGTGTGCATATGCTTGTAAATGTGGACTCCATGTTTGTGGGCAGGTGCCTTTCCATGTGTACAGTGTATGTATGTGAACTAGTGTACATGCCGGAGTGTGCAGTGTATATACAATGAACACATGCATGTGAGTGTAAGCAGGTGTGAGAGCCGGATGTAGCCTGCCAGGCCATTCTATCTGGCCCGCGGGGCTCCTAAAAAATTTAGAGAATTAATATTTATCTGCCCCTGGCTGCCTGTCATGCGGCCCTCGGCGGCTTGCCAAAACTCAGTAAGCGTCCCTCCACCTGAAATAATATTCCTGGGGAAGGTGTGCATATGTGCAAATGTATTGGGTTGTGTTTGCCACATGTGGTAGATAGGTATGTGCATAGCATGTGTGCAGGCAGGTTACGCTGTCTGTGCCTGTGTGTTTTTTTTACATGCCGTGTGCATGGATGGGAAGGTTTGCTACCTCCGTGGCAGGGGCAGGCAGGAGTGATGGCAGCAGTGTCTACTACAGTGAGAGCTGTCAGATCACTCCCTAAGAGCCTGGTCTGCATTCACATACAAGGAGGCTTCATGCAGAGAGGTGAAAGGACCTTTGACTGAAGCTCAAAGCCAATTGCATGAGACCTTTTTCTTTAAGAATAATCATTACTAAGCACCTGTATTAAAGTCTGGCCAACAAGTGAGGATGGAGATCACAGCCCTGGCATGCTAGGTGCTGCATGTACAACAGAAACAAAGGACGGGAGCAGAAACAAAGGTGTAGTGGTGATATGACTTGACCATGGCCACCTGGGAGGTCAGTGGCAGAATAGGGAGTAAAGCTGAGGTCTCCAGACAAAGTCACCAGATGACTCTGAGGCAGTTGCTAGTGCCAGTGACCTGACAGCAGCCAAGAACACAGAGGTTGCTATGTCCTCTTCTCTGGCCCTCCAGAGAGGCCCAGTCCCCAGCTGAGGACTCAAATGAGAAAACAGAAGTGGAATGAATAGGTAGGGTGTATTGTAATTTCCTGTGAGACCTCTTGGGGCTACTACCTTTCCTATCCTCTGGCAGAGCTAGATGCTGACTGGGCCTAAGGTGCATGGGGCCCTGGGAGCTGTAGCCCACAGAGCACAGTCAAATGAGTGGTCCAGAGCTTTCTGGAGAGTTAAGGCTGTAATTCAGTTTCTGCATCCACAAACAGTGTCAGGGACTGACATGGTCACGGTCTTCAAAGGGTTAATTTCGCCACGTGCGACTTTTCCACTTCGGCCCCTTCTGTTTCCCTCTGTTTTGAATCCCTCCTGCAGGATCGAACCCCGCACTTCAGAACCAGCATCTCCCTACTGCCCAGAATTGGGCCTTTCCCACAAGAGCTCCCCACCCCCCCAGGCCAAGAGCTGCCATCTCTGCTAGATCTCAGCCTGTAGCTCCCAGGCAGCAAGAGACTCTGGGAGAGCAGGGCTCTCCCACCCTCTGCCCACAGCAGAGTCCTCTGTGCACGCACGCGTGTGTACATGTCCCACAGCATTCTCTGTCCTGCCCCTTCCACAAGGACATTGCTGGTGAGGTCTGTGTTTTGCATGTTGTTTCCCGGAGAACAAAGTGATACAGGCGATGATGTCTGCAGAATAATTCTGTATTACTGGCTCTGCCGGCAGTGGCAGCACCCAGCTTGTCCTTGGCAGGGCCCTCACTGATTTCTTGAGTGCTGCTTCATGGCCCCTTGTCAATCTGCCTTGGCACTGGCTTTTCAAATACCTCCTTCCCCTGCACTCTTCAAGAAAGAAAAAGGATATGAGCCTTCCTGTGCAATCCCTGGGGATGGGAGCTGCTGCCTAGCTAGAGGGGTTTTGTTTTGTGTTGCTTAGGAAGTGACACCTGTGGAGCTGGTGGAGGTTGTGTAAGGTTATGTTCACTGTAGCTGTAGGGCTGGCCGCTGGGCAGTCCATACATAGATTTATCACCATGCTGTCTTGGGACCAACTAAAATTGACCCTCCCACTCCCGCTTGTGCTAGATGCTGCATAGATATAGAGACAACAGCAGTTCCTTCCCTGTGTTGAAAGACAAGACCGATGGCAGGTGTCGGACCTGCTTATAGCATCCCACTTCAGCCCAGCTTTGCCTGAGGCTCACTGAGCTTGTTAGCCTTTTAGGCCAGACTGGGCCAGGTCAGACAGAACCTGGCACTGAATGTGACTCTTTGCCCAGGCAGCACGCTCAGGTTTGTGGAACTGGTGCAGACCAGGTTCAGCTTCAGACCTTTGGCCTCCTTTGCCTTGGAGCCTTTGCCTGGGTCCGAGACACAGTGGCAGCATTTGTAGGAAACCTTAGAAGCATTTCTGCTTCTCCCCACCATTTGTAGGAAACCTCAGACCTGGATCCACACCCAGATCTCAGCCCTTTCTTTGTAACTGGGCTGAACCAAAAGCCTGGGTCTGGACCCAGTTCTCAGCTTCCTCTGAACCAGGCTATTCGGAACTTTCTTGTGCTGATCCCAGCCTATCTAGTAGTGCACGGGATTCAGTCTCCACAGCCTCCCTGTTGGGCTCCAGTGCAGGGACCCAGTAATTTAACCACAGATTCTGTTTTCTGGAATTTTATCAGTCACAAGGGGCTTGTTGGCATCTGGGGAGGAGGCAGCAGGAGTTGGGATAGGAGACTGGTGACAGTGTGGCATGGGCATCCTTCTCATTTCCCAGTGTGCAGGAGCTGGGGGATCACATAGACAGCTGTCAGTCAGGCTCTACCTCAAGCTCAGTGATTGTTGGGTGCATCTCTTCCCTGACAGGATCCCTCTGTCTCTGGGCCACATGTTCAGACAGGACCTTCTGCCTTCTCTCCCTGCATCTGTGAGGCCCTTTGCCCTGTGAGCGCAGGCAGCCACATGTGTCCCCCTTTCCCCATTAGAATCAATGGCAGTGCCTGGCTGTAGGTGAGGCCCCAGGGGCTGCACCCTTCTGACTGCAGTGCAGGCCCCATCCCTCTGCTACATAGAAACAGGGACTCTGGCAGTGCTGACTGGTTGCTAAGCCCTTTCCTTATATTGAAGCACTCCTCAGAGCACAGCCAGCATGGGCCACGGGCACATGCCCAGCCTGGCCAGGTGTGGGAAGAAAACCCTCTGAAGAAGTTAAAGGAGATTAGATTCCTTGTAGAAGGAATCACAGCACCTTGGTGTTCCTGCATGTGCTGATTCTCCTCCTGCTGTTCCTCAAGGGCCCCCACTGCAGTAACTCCAGTACTCCCCCACAGCCCCATTAATGAACAACTGGATCCTGTTAGATAGGACAGCACAACTTGGCTTGACTCCTGGGGAAACTGAGGCACAGGACAAAGCAGTGACATGACCAAGTGGCAGAGGGGCTGGCACATGCCCTCAGAAGAGCAGGAGGAGGCATCTGCCATCTGGGAACGGAGACCTCGTTCTGTGGCCCTGGGGCCTGCTTAAGCGAGAAGGCTGCCAGGAGCTGCTAGTGCTCAGCTGCACTGGGGCACAGCTCTGCTCTGACAGGTCAGGAGGCAAAAGTGCTGTCTAGGGACACAGGGGCTGAGCCACACAGCTGGGTTAACTGCCTGGCAGCATGCACAGCCAGCTGGGGGCCTGAGCGGGACTTGGCAACACAGCCAGGGCAATCTCAGAGCTGTGGTCTGGTTGCACCCAAGGGGGGAGTTTGGGGAGATGGGCATCCAAAGAGTGTACCCCACAGAGAGGAGGGCAGATGAAGTCTGTGAGAGGGCTCACTGCCAGGGCCTGGCATACATGGATGGACAGCTCTGGCAGTCTCAACTTCTCCTGGCAAGAGGTGCCCACAGAAAGGCATAGCAAAACTTCCAACTGCTCCAGCCCCAGTGGCAATCTCTCCAGCACCCATGGTAAGCTGTTGCCTGGAGCTGATGCCCCTCACTCCTATTTCTAGCTTGTGGCTCTTTTTTTTCCCAGCTTGATCCTGAAAACACCGGTTTCATTGGTGTGGAGACCTTTGCCAGCCTGGTGCACAGCCATGAGCTGCCCCTGGACCCTGCCAAGCTGGAGATGCTGGTGGCTCTGGCACAAAGCAATGATGAGGGGCAGATCTGCTATCAGGAGCTGGTAGACCTGGTCAGTGACGTGAGTGCTAGTTACGGTGCCTGGGCACCACACACATGCCATGAGGAGGACCCTGTGAGGCCCACTGCGCTTCATAAAACTGGGAAGCAGGATTGGGAGGGGGTTGCAGTTCCCTTTGGAGCATGTACCCGTGGGGCTGGGCATGCTGCTCAAAAGCAGGAGTTTTGGGGGCCAAACACAGCCCTGGATGGGGGACCTCTGTTTTGGTTCAGCATGAGAGCTCAAGGCACAAATTCACCCGTGGTGCAAGCTGGTCTAGTCAGTGTGACCTGCATCTGCCTACACGAGGCCTGGACTTGGCCCAGTGACTTGAGGCACCAACCCCAGGAGATGACTGCTGTCACGGGGCAGCCCACTGCACTGAGGAACACAGCTGCTGGACAGGGTCCCTGGGGCCAGTTCAGGGCTCCCTGTGGGAAGCAGAGCTCAGGGAGGACATACCTGATGTCTATCGTTGCATGCACGCATGCGCGCGCACACACTCTACCCTGCACACACCACAGGTGGTTCTGGAGCAGGTCACCTCCCACCATCCCCTGCCATCAGTTTGCTGGCAGAAATGCCAGACTCTTGGTCCTTTCTTCTGGCACAGAAAGAGTCTTTGTTTGGTGAACCTAGACTGGGATTGGAACAGAGGGAGGGAGTCTTTGCTTGGTGACCCTGGCCCCCATCAAGTCACCAGTTCAAGGCTGGGCTGGAGCCTGGTAGGAACTATATCATCTGTCCCTCATGGCTCTTTGCTGGCCTGTATGGAAGGAGGTTGAAGCTCAGCACCTAGGGGACAAAGGTCCATTCCACAGAAACCGTTATCTACTGGTATCAGGGCAGTCAAACATGCCCTGGGGAACCAGATGCCACTGCTGGACTGGGCTGGAGAGGCTGGCATTGCTGAGCCCTACTCTGTGGAGAGCTCTGCAGAGCTGGCAAGGTAGCACCAGTTGCCTTGCAGCCCCCCGGGTGGAGAGATGACAGCTGTTAGCAAAACGTTGTGAAATACAAGCAGATTCCTGTTAGATGGCCTCCTTGTGCCATGGCCCACAGTCACAGGGATGACTGGAGTAGCTGGGAGCACTTGCACGTACCCAGCAATGCCTCCTAGTGGGAAGGTGAAACAGCTTGTTGCCGGGCTCTTCCCCACAGCGAAGGCTTCTGCCCTGGCTGGCTCTGGGGCTGCTGCGTGTGGGGTAGGGATTATGCATAGTTAGAGTCCCGGCCTGCACAAGGACCCATCTTGGAGAGGAAATAAAGATTTGTTTTCCTCTCGTGTACTGAGCTCTCCACAAAAGCAGAAGGCACCACTGAATATTCAGTCGTGAATCCTTAGATTATTCCTACTTGGCTCAGCTGAGTGTGGAGACGATCCAGGAGAGTGCCTCATTAGCACACTGCCCCTGCGCACACTGTGTGCTTGGCATCCTGTCTCCAAAGGCACCTGTCCCTTGTCCCAGCCCTTCACTGCTCTCTCCTCACCTGACATCGCAGTGGTCCCATGTTCGGGGAATCTCTGGCCTGAAGCGACCCCTGCTGGCTAAGGTGGGGAGCGGAGGGCTGGGAGCTCTGTTCGCAACCGATGTCTGTCACAGCCTCTCTCTGCAGATCAGCAGTAAACGCTCCAGCAGCTTCAAGCGAGCCATTGCCAATGGGCAGAGGGCACTGCCCCGCGATGTGCTGCTGGACGAGACAGGCCTGGGCTTCTACAAGCGCTTTGTCCGCTACGTGGCCTATGAGATTCTGCCCTGTGAGATGGACCGACGTTGGTACTTCTACCAGCATCGCACCTGCCCCCCGCCTGTCTTCATGGCAGCTGTCACACTCACCCAGGTACCCTGAACCTCACAGGAAATGCACCTGGGGGGGGTGTCTCCGTGCCTGGGGAATTTGCCTTCCTGTGGGCATCCAGAGCCAGAGCAGGCTGTGCCCTCTGCCACTTCTCCACCTGGCCCCTGCTCTCTGTATTGTGCTCTATAGAGCAGGGAAATCCTCCCCAATTGACAGCCAGCCCCTTTCTTTCTGCAGATCATCGTGTTTCTGTGCTATGGGGCTCGGTTGAACAAGTGGGTGCTGCAGACATACCACCCGGAGTACATGAAGAGCCCGCTGGTCTATCACCCGGGGCACCGAGCCCGTGCCTGGCGGTTCCTTACCTACATGTTCATGCACGTTGGGTAAGGAGGAACCACCCCTGAGGGAGGGAGGGAGGGAGAGAGATGCTGAGTTTGGGGGATGTCGCCCAGGCAGGGCAGGGCAAACCAGGTCAGAGCAAATATGGGCCATGGATTCCTGTCTCCGCACAGGGCACTACAGTGCCTGCAGCTTGTGAGTGTGTTGAAAGTGCTGAGGGCAGCTTGTGCTCCTCTGCTCTGAGTTGTGGCAAGAATTTGGTGCCTCGGCCAGAACCCCTTTTTCAGTGGATGGTTCAGGGGACTGGGAATGAGACCCAGGGACAGGAAGGAATTCCCACCAGATGGCCTGTGTGAAATGAGCCGGGGGGCACAGTCAGGCCCAGTTCTTCAGTGATAGTGCCAGGGGAGAAGCCAGGGGCTGGGTGGATTTCATGACTGGGTTGTGTTATTCCTGCAGGTGTGGCCCCTCCAGGAGAGGGCTAAGCATATCTGAGGGAAGATCTTGAGAGACAGTACATTGCAGCTGCCTGTGCTGTCTTCTGGTGTGTGGACAGTGGAAAGCTTTGCTCTCCGGGGCAGGTTGAACAGTGAGAACAGCTATTTGCAGAACATCTTGGCAACTAGAATTTAGCCTCCACTGGCTTTGCAGTCCCAATTGTATCCATGGGAGCAGTGTTTGGCATGGCTGGATTTCATAGGAAGGAACTTCAGAACAGGACTTGAGACACAGCCCCACTCCTCTTCTGGGGAGGCAACACCTGTTTTGGGCTCAGGTAGACCGGCTTGTCCAGTCAGGAAGCAGAAACACGACCATGTGACTTGAGAAACCAAAAGGAGGAGGGATGCTCTTGCAGGTCAGGGTCCTCACTCTGCCACTGACTTGCTGAATGACTTTGGGCAGGTCACTTACTTTCTCTCTGTGCCTCAGTTTTCCCCATAGAAGAGGATGTATTGCAGTTGCTAGCTTGACAATGGAATTGGGAGGGTTAAATCATAATCATTTGCAAGAGCCTTGTTCAGGACTGAGATCAGCACTATAGGAATTCTTGCTAATAAATGAAATAAATGCTGAGGTTGGAATTGAATGGGCCTTGGAAATGGCGTCAGGTCAAATTCATTCTTGCAAAATGTTAATTGGACTGTCTCGAACAGTGGGTGAGCTTGTGGAGCAGGCCATTCCCCAGCAGCGGAAGCACTGAGATCACTGCTGGCCCAGTGCTAAGGACAGGCCAGGATCCTCCCGCTTCCTCCCTACCACTGCTGGGAAGCTGCACCCCCCACTCTTTGCATGCCTCCTCCCAGTGGGCAGCATGTGAGAGAGCAAAGCCAGGCTCCTGTGGCTAGAATTTAGCACCAAGGCACATGAGCTGCCAGTGTGATGTCATCAATACAGCATTATGATGTCACTGTGGGAAGCAGGACAAGGGTGAAAGCCTACTAAAATCCTTGATGAATTGACTAGCCTGTGCATGGAGACAGTCTAGATAGTTTTCCCTCCTAGACTTGACATTCCTCGTCAGAGCCCCGGGGCAGGGGGATCTCCATTGTGCAGAGGCACCCCTGTGTGTCTTTGTAGGATCAGGGCACGCTGAGAGTGATGCTGGGTGCATTAATGAACTCCTTCCTCAGGGTTGCCTCCTGCCCCCATCATGGTCGGAGCTGTGGGAGGAAGTGGGTAGGGGCTCAGATTGGTCCATACCCCCTGGTTGTGTTGCGTGTTGATGGCTGTGGCCTGCACTGAGCTGACCAGTAATGCACTGAAATACAGGACAAGGGGGAAGAGGGGTCATCGGCCATCTCTGGCTACAGCCAGCAGCTAGAGTGGCAAGGTGTCTCCTGCTTTCTGACGGGAGAGGCAGACGTGCTGTGAGAGATGAGCATTGCCAGCCTCTTCTTCTTTCAAAGCTGGCTCTGTGGCAAAGCAGTAGCAAAACCAAGGACAGGAGAAGCCCCCCAGCTCTGAGACTGCCTGGCCGCAGAGTCTGCGTGTCCCTGTGCCATGCCAATGCAGCGACCACACAGAATGTCAATTGGGGATGAAATAATAATGATTACTGCAAAGATATTGACCACAGTAGCACAGCCTGTTCCCTGGATTGATGGCCTCTTGATTAGCAAAATTAACAGCCCCAATCAGATCTGCTGAATGGTGGGATTAACCACAGGCAATTCCTGAGCTGCCATCTCCAACCCTGGATGTTCATTGCCTTGTAAAGGCCACACAATGCCCCATCAATGGGATACTTCTGAGCATGACTGGGATTGGCTGGTCTGTACTGAGGGCATGCTTGGGAAGTTGGCATCCAGATGGGAGCACTGTTGGGCTCTTCCTTGAGGGCTGAGCTGGTTGATGATGCTTTGAGCACATTTTCACTGGGAAATGCCAGTTTGACCAACACCAAATATTTTGCAGGGCTGCAGCAGTTTCACTGAAAATTCCAACCCGAATTATCAATAGGCCACATTTCAGTTGACACCAAGGGTCTTTATTTTGGATGTTAACTTCTTGATTGTCTTTATCATTGTATTGCTATCAGTGTTGTTATTAATATGTTATATCAATCCTCCCTTTGATGTCATTGAAAGGATAAAATCAAAAGAAGGTGATTCGGTTTTATTGAACTGGAAAATTCTAATCAGTTGCTTCAGTATTTGCCAAATACCATTTTTGCATAATTTGTTTTGCAGGAACTGTCAGTGTTTTGACTCTTTGTTCCAGTTCAGGATAAAAGGGAGTCTTGAAAGGCCAGGATTTCCTGTAGAGCTACAACAGTTCATAGTTTCGATAGGCTTGAGCTGCCGAAGCTGCCTCCCTATTGCAGCCATCCCTCCCTTGGACCCAGGAGGGCCTGCAGTTGCTCGGTGTGGAAGTAAATTCCAGGTGGGAGATGGAGCAGATTGGGGCAGCTGGTCATGTGAGATGGAGCTTTTTTCTCTAGCTCAAATGCTGCCTAGGTGAAAATGACTGAAGAGCCGTCTCAGTTGGGTTCCTGACCAGGTAGATACCCCTTCCTCTGGCCAAGAGCAGCTGTCAGCTATGCCGAGTATGAGAGATGTGGGCTCATGGTTAGGGAAGGGGATCAGGGGGCCAGAAGTCCTAGGGTCTGTGTCCAGCTCTGCCATTGACTGTCTTTGTGACCTTGGGTGAGTCCCTTTCCCCTCATTGTTTCATCTTCTCTGAAAGTTACACCACAGTGGGGTGTATCATCCCCACCCTGTCCTGTGTGGCCAGCTAGAAGGACTCTGCTTGCTGAGCTTAACTTGTCTCCTTATGTTTCTGTCCAGGTTGGAACAGCTTGGATTCAATGCCCTCCTCCAGCTGATGATCGGGGTCCCCCTGGAGATGGTCCATGGTATCTTGCGCATCAGCTTCCTCTACCTAGCGGGAGTGCTGGCAGGTGGGTGGGGGCACCGACCCGTAGGTCTGCTGCTGGTTCTTCCTCCCCAGGTGCAGTACCCTGCACTTGTCAGTCGTGAAACCCATCCTGCTCTCATCCGCCCACCCCTGTAACCTGTCTAGGTCTGATTGCAGCCTATTCCTCCCTTGTAGTGTGCCCACTTCCCCCCACATCTTAGTGTCATCAGCAAATTTGAACAGGGTGCTTTTTACACCCTCGTCCAAGTCACTGATGGAGATGTTGAACAGTGCGGGTCTGAGGACCAAGCCCTGGGGGACCCACTGCCCACATCCCTCCAGGTCGAAAATGACCCATCCACCACCACTCTCTGGGTGCGGCCCTCCAGCCAGTTAGCGACCCATTTGACTGTGTAGGTGTCGACGCCACTGTCCCCTAGTTTTTTAATGAGAATGGGGTGAGAGACAGTGTCGAAGGCCTTCCTGAAGTCCAGAAAGACTACGTCCACTGCTACCCCTGCATCTAAGGATTTTGTGACCTGGTCATAGAAGGCCACCAGGTTGGTCTGACAGGACCTGCCTCTAATGAACCCGTGTTGGTTGCCCCTAAGCATTATCTCCCCTGCCGGCCCCTTGTGGACATGCGCCAGGATAACTCTCTCAAAAAGCTTCCCCAGGACCAAGGTAAGACTGACTGGCCTGTAGTTTCCTGGGTCCTCCTTCCTCCCTTTTTTGAAAATGGGAACCACATTGGCCCTTTTCCAGTCCCCTGGTACCACACCAGAGCACCACGAGTGCTCGTAAAGCCGTGCCAGGGGTCCCACAATGACCTCTGCCAATTCCCTCAGCACTCTGGGGTGCAGGTTGTCAGGACCAGCTGATTTAAATACGTCCAGTTCCTCCAGAAGTTCCCTGACTAGATCCTCGCTGACCCTAGGCCTGGGTGCGCCTCCCCTGGGGCCTGAGGGGGTCCCAGCGGACAGGCTGATCCAGTCCCTACTCAGGAAAATGCTCCCTTCTCCATTATTCCCAGAGGGATTGGCTCCTTCTGCTGAAATGAGTGAAGAATTATCGCTGCTCATGACATGTTTCCCTTCCTCAGGTCAGCCAGCCCCAGGGAAAAGCTGAGGATAGCCTAGCAGGGCAGTGTGGCTGCAGGGGAGATTCTCTTCCATGTGCACTCTCCATCAGAGCAGAGCCCTGCAGGGTTTGCAAAGGCAGGGACCCCAATTCTGTTGAGCTGCTGCTGGTTGCTGACCTGATCCTTAAAGTCTCCTTCCTTCCTTTCCTGCTGCAAGCTGGATCTAGGCTCAGGAAATGCAGGAAGTGATTACAGCAGAAAGCCAGTGCAGGGAGAGGGGATTGGGGGTGCAGGGGTGGTAAAGGCATCCTTTGGGCCCTGGCAGCTTCTCTGTCAGTGAGGGGCACATAGGGTAGTGAGTGAAACATAGAGACTACTGACTATAGACCTGCTGCAGCGGAGTCCCTGTGCACACAGTGCTTGGAGATTGGGGATCCCTCTTATCCATCCAGGGTGGCTGCCTCCTGCTGGACAGGATAGGACCTGCCTGGCTGTGTGTCATAGACCACAGCACTAGCAGACAACAAAGATTCCCCCGCCCACAGCTGATGTTTCCCTGGGGTGTTTATGCAGGTGGGTCAGTGTTTCCTCTGCACTGTCAATGGCCAGAGCTTGGAGCAGGGCAGTAGGTCTGACCTTCCAAGGCTTGTTGCAATTCTGTGTATATCGCTGACTTTGTATTAATGGAGGCTGCCCAGGCCCTTGATAGCAACATCCCCTCTGCAGGTGGCAGAAGCAGTCCAGTGTGTCAGGTCTCCCAACCTGAGCTGGGAGGCTCCTCTAGGGCTAAGGGTGAGGGCAAAGATCAGTCTTCATGGTCCATTTGGCCCTTGACTTCTCTGTGGCTAGATGTCAGTGCCATACCTGCTAGGATGTGAGACTACCAGGAGCTCCAAAGTGGGCATTGTATGGCTGTGATGAGCCATCTTTGAACCAGTGACACAGAAGGGAAGGGCTCCCTGTCTCAGCAGTGACCCCTACCCCAACTCCTAGAACAGCTGCATTTCATATCAGGGGTGCTCAGCCAGGAGGAAGCAGCTGGCCTGGGGGTGGAGGACAAACTCCACACTTACCCCTCTGTAGTCATTTCAGGCATTTGGGGCTGTAACCTCACATCTCCTCACCAGCCATGGACAGCAGAGCCAGGGGAGCCTGGCCAAGGTGGGCTGTGCCCCAGCATGCCCCTTGGGACTCAGCCCTGCTAAGGTACCATCTTCTGGATGAAATTCAAGCCAAGGCCTGATCTTTTTAGGCAGTCCCTGTTGTTGGCACTATGGGCAAGAGCTGTGGTGCAAACCATTGCCCCGGTCAGATTTTAACTCACTCCCCTTTCAGATTTTTCTTGTTGGCTACCACATTCTTCCTCACTTCCTGTCCTAAATAGCTGTCCAGTGTCAGGGCGCTTTGCTAAACAGCTCCAGCTCCTGTGCATCTCCCCAGAGCTGGTGGCACTTCAGAGCATGTGTGTGAAGTGATTTTTGCACATCCTTTACACACTGGTGACATTTGTAAAAGGCTCAGAGAGTTTCCAGGCAGAACAGAGCCACATAATTATTGTATGAACCTTATTGTTAATGGAGCCCTGGTCTTTAAGAAACCACGCACATTGTTGGTGCAGTGTGAACAGTAATAATTGAGGTCGTCCTCGGGGTTCAAGGTGACACCAAACCCTTTAATCCTGTGGTTTTTCATGATGCCCAGCTATATTTCAGACAGGATAGGACAGTCACACATGGGGGCCCTTCACTCCTTTTCACCCAGTGGTGTAACATAAGAGATTTTCTAATGCTCTTTAGCTCAAGAGCTATATATACCAGGCATCTGGGGAAAGCTACCTCTGAGTGCTAACGCTTTTCCATGCTGCTGACTGCATGCAGAACTGTTTGCAAGGCCCTTGGGCAATTAGCAGAGTAGCCAGAACTACTCACCCATGGATTTCTTTGGAGAGGGAGAGATCAGAAACCAGGGCTTCTCATACCCATCAAACCCACTCTCTGCTCCCAGAAACTGCTGTCTTGGCAGAGAATGGCCTGGGACTGAGGGTAGCAAACACTAACCCTGCCTGCAGCTCAGAGACCCTGTGCCAACACTGAGAGCAAAGTGGGGCCCTGCCCAGTTCCCTGGAATGGATGCCTTGACCACTGTGATGACAGCCTCTGCCCATGTTTCTCAAGCCAGCTTTGTGTGTGGCTGTACCCAGAGTGCTGCAAGGGCACAGCTAAGTTTCCCTGGCGTGGCTGTGGTTGAGCTGGAGGGCAGCTGATGTTCAGTCCCATTCCCCAGGTATGTTTCCCTGGGTGGTTCCCCTCTGATGGGGGTGCTTGTCTGCCGGCTGGCAGGCACAGTGCCACATCCTGTGGGTGGCATGAGATGAGATCACTGCCTGGTTCCTAGGGGCTTTCCCAGGTGCTACCAGCAAGTGGCCTGGGGCAGTGTCGGGGCATGTGGAGCAGCATACCAGCCCTTCTAGAGACTCAACCAGCAGGGTCAGCCTGATAGCCACCTGCTATGGGTGCCTTATGTCCCATGAGGCAGGTTCCTCTCCAGGGTAATCCTGTTGGTTACAGTGGGATCAGTCCAGGATGAACTTGGCCCAGGAGATGTAGATGCAGTGGGTCTGCATTTTGGGGTGTCAGCACCCCTGCGCCAAGTGTGTGGTGCACATCAGTTGTAGTGGGCAGGTGTGCAGCAGCAGGAGACCGTGGTGGAGCATGTGTTGAGTGGTGAGTGCTCACAGTACACATTTGGACTGGAAGGAGTCAGTGTGCAGTTTGTAGGGGTAGCACTGGCATTGCTGGCTGAGGTAGATAACAAGGGTGTGAGGGGCTGTGCTGCCTGTGGAGTGTGTGTGTGCTCTGTGCTGGGTGCGAGGGGCTCTGCTGGGTGTGGTGTTAGTGCGTGCTCTGTGCTGGGTATTGAGGCAGGGCTGTATTAGCGTGTGCTCTGTGGGGGTGTGAGGGGCTGTGCCATGTGCTCTGTGGTGTTGTGGTGGGCTGCGCTGCGTATGCTGTTAGCATGTGCTCTGTGGTGGGTGAGGGGCTGCACTGTGTGTGCTCATTATACACCAGATGAGTATGTGCTTTGGAGGAGAGCACGTGCAGGAGCTGGAGTATGCACTGATGCTATAATGCAGACCGATGTGGTGGAAAAGCCTGTACATGGGGAAAGTCCCATTAAAGTTTGATGCTGAGGCAGCGAGAGCAGGAGCTATGAAAAGCTCCATGCTGTGGACTGGGAAAGCCTGTCTTTCTGAGTCCATTTCCCTGTACTCTGCCCCAGGGCACAGGCACGCTCTCCTCTGCTCTGTCACCAGTATTCCCCAGTATTCCCCTCTTGCCTGCAGGCTCCCTGACTGTCTCCATCACAGACATGAGGGCCCCGCTGGTTGGAGGCTCAGGAGGCGTCTATGCCCTCTGCTCTGCTCACCTGGCCAACGTCGTCATGGTAGGTCCTCTGGCTGTGCAGCCTACCAGGGAGGGCACTGGGGTGGGACTGGTATGTGGCATATGTCCTCCTGTTCCCTACTGGGATCCCAGGAGCAGCTGAGATAATGTTAAAGAGTGCCCAGACAAACTCTGAGAGGAGAGCAGTGGCATGAGCTGCTGGTGCTGGCTGGGATGGTCATGTCCATGGTGGTTGCCCACCCAGTCCGGTTCAGGCAAACAGCTTTGGTCTGTGTCCTTTGGTACGTTGCTGGCCTGGGATTAGCACTGTAGGAGACCAGGGTCACGCCACACCTCTGGGCTGGCACCAGCTGTGGATAGTGCATTGACATGGAGGTAGCAGGGGGATGGGGTAGAGACCAGAGCAATGAAGGGCATTTGCTGCTTGCCTTATCTTGGCCAACCACCTATGACTAGTATTATCAACAGGGGACAATTTGCAGCCACCATCAATCTCTTCTTTAAGAATTTGGGGCATCAGCAAGGGTTTTCTTGAGGGGTAAAGCCCCATTCCCTCTATTTCCCCCTCTCTCCCACCCTTCTGCCTCAACCCTGTCACACCTAGCAGGGCACTGGTGCCTGGGCATGTCCAGCATCTGCCCCAGAAAACAATATAGACAGGGCTTTCCAGGCTTTGCAAGCTGGCCATGGCTGTCTTGCCCCATTTGCTGTAACATGGCCCTGATTGTGGCCATGCTCCTAGGCAGGCAGTAGACTTCTTCCTCTGAAGGAGCTTCACTCCTCCCTGCTGCCATTTTAGGTAGTGAACTGCAGCTTGACAGGCTGCCACAGGTCCCTTCCAGCTGGAAATGGGTCAGGAATAGTCCATTGCTTGAGCCCAGCCATGGGTCTTGTGTAGCTGTAACTCTGTCTGTCTGTCCTCAGAACTGGGCAGGGATGCGTTGCCCCTACAAGCTGCTCCGGATGGTTCTGGCCCTTGTGTGCAGTAAGTACCTGGTGTACATACTTGGCTACCGGGGAGAAGGCCCTGGGGGAGGACTCTGCCAGCCATTGACACTCCAAGGCCAGAGGTGATCATTACAGTCAGTGGGTCCTATGTCCTGCATAGCACAGGCCAGGGAACTTCACCCCAGGCCTCCTGCAACAGGGAAAACTGCCCTTCCTTGCTGTGTTAGCAAATTCTCTCAAACACTGATTGAACCAGAGAAGTAGGTCTCCACCTCTTTTTCCATCCCAAAGTCTCCATGAACCCCTTCCCATGCAACCATGAGATGGAAGGATAGTTGCAGCCCCCATGCTTGACTTGCCTTGCTCATGGGCACGATGATACGGAGCAGGGGTTTTCAATCTTTTTGGATCAGTGTACCCCTGGAGGCCGGACGCAGAGCAGGGGGGAGGGGGCAGTGGCACACAGCTGAATGCGGAGCAGTGGCAGCCACCATGTGCAAACTTCCCTCATCCCCCACATCCAGCCGGGCACGCAGCCCCTGCACGGCAGCATGGGATGGTGCATGCTGGCATTCCGTCCCCGCCTGCCCACATGTACCCCCTCGGGCCTTCTCAAGTACCCGCAGGGGTACGCGTACCAACAGTTGACAACCCCTGATATAGAGTGTTTCTTTGAGAGGTGCCAGTCTCTGCTTCAAGACTGCCTGTCATGGAGAGCACACAGGCATTTCCCCTGATGAGCCCTTCCTGTGGCCTGTCGCCCTCACCCATAGGCATCAGCATCTCACTCCCAGCCTGCTTGCAGCCTGATGAAGCTCAGCTCCATGCCATGCAGACCAGTGCCTGCTGGGATGCCACCAAAATCTTCCTCAGCCTGTTACTCAGTGACAACAAACAGCACAGAAATGTGCAGCCTTCCAGCGGGGGCACTTGTCCCCATCAGTAGTGGCTGGGACCTGGGAGCAGCAGGGCTGGACAGACACAGGGCCCCACACGCAGAGCAGGGGTAGTGGGGTTGCTCTCAGGCTGGGTCCTTGCTGAATCAAGCTGGTTTCCCACTCTTCATCCTCTCCCTTGCAGTGAGCTCGGAGGTGGGTCGAGCCGTCTGGCTCCGTTTCTCCCCTCCCCTGCCAGCCTCTGGCCCCCAACCCAGCTTCATGGCTCACCTAGCTGGTGCCATTGTGGGCATCAGCATGGGGCTGACCATCCTGCGCAGCTATGAGGAGAACCTGCAGGACCAGTGCGGATGGTGGGTCGTGCTACTCTCTTATGCCACCTTCCTCGTCTTCGCTGTCTTCTGGAACATATTTGCCTATGACCTGCTGGGGGCACAGATCCCACCACCGCCATAGCCTCCCCTGGGTCTCCAGCATCCTCCCCGAAAGTGCCAAAACCCTGATGACACGGGTGCCAGCCCCGTGCCCGGGGGCCTGCACTGGACCAGAAGCGCACTGGCTTTTCTATCGAGGTGTTCTCTCAGCCAGAGACTGAACTTGGAATCTTCCTAGGCCCCTGCCTGAGCCTGGGAGGCCGCAGCTATGTGACGTGGAGCCCAGCAGACCCGGGCACTGGGCACCCTGCCCACGTGGCAGAGTGGGGCCCTCCACCAGAGGCCAGATCGGCTGTGCATGCACGTGCTGGGTGTGAGCAAGGGCAGTGTGCCCACCCCTGTGCAAACATGTTTGCTGTGTGTGTCGTGCCACCCACCCCAGCAAGCAGGCCTGGCCCCCAAGCTGAGTGGGAGTGAGCATGCATGCTCCCTCATGTCAGGGTGGCAGTGCCAGGGTGCTCAGTTGAATGTACAGTTTTCAAGCTGCCTTCCCTCCCACATCCCTCGCTGCTCAGTTCACTGAGTCTCCCTCATTGGCTCAGGCAGGCCAGATCCTCTGCTGTAGACAGCAGGAACACTGCAGGGACCCCAGTGAAATACCGCCCCATAAGAAGATGGTTCAGCCTCTCCTCTCTTTCCCCTACATGCCATATGTGAACCCCTAACTGCAGAGTCCCAACCCCTGCTCTTCAGGGCTGGGCACAGGTGGGAGCAGCATGGGGAAGAACAGCAGCAGAACAGAGTGCCTCTGCTGTGTAGAGCACGGGGCCGTGCAGCCGGGTGCAGGGACAACAGTACTAGGGAGTGGAGCTCTCAGGTTGGCCAGAGGCTTCAGAGCAGGTCAGGGGGGTCCCAGCTAGGAGAAATGCCCACTTGTTTGTTCGTAGGAAACAGCCATAGAAAATTAAGGTCTGGTCTCTTAGCCAAGGGGCACCAAAATGCTGTTCAGTTTGATTTTCCCCTCCTTCCCCAGCTCACCTAGATCTCCCTCAGCACCCAGTTCAGGGCTCATCTTGACAGCTACCCTGTTGGTAGGGGCCTGAGCCTCTGTCTCCTGACCAGAACTGCACTTCTTGTATATGATGTCAAATCACTGTTTCCCCCTATGCTATCAGAGCTGAGATCTGCACAACTCATCTCAGCAGTGCCCCTGAGATTGGCTGTTTAGATCACAAAGCCCATGTGTCCCCAGAACTTCCATAGCTGGCATTTGACTCAGCCCAGAGCATTACCTCTCTGATGGCATATTGGCATGGGCAGTAGGGAGGTCTCTTGCAATGGGTTCCCAATGCGAACAGGGCAAGGAGCAGAGGAGAAAAGGCAGGACCCGCACCTGGAATCAACCTTTTTGAAGTATAAATAAATATTTTGCACACCATATGTCCCCACTGTCTGTTGCTGTCCTGCCCGCAGATTGGCTGCTTCTTTTTTCAGCTCAGCAAAAGGGATCACTAGGTCCCTGACTTGCTTGGGCCTGGGTTCATTCAGCAGCTAACCTCATTTATAGAGGGACCAGTGGAAATCACCTGCTCTGAGGGTTGCACTGACTCGTTCGCTCCTTTGATGAGCCAGTGCCCTTCCCTCCTACCAAGGTAAAGTCAGTTCCATGAATAGAGATACAATTGTCCCCCCCCCCTCCCATTATCCAGGTAGAAGAGAGAAAAGTCTGCCCAGGGTAACCCCTGCCACCTGCAGCATCAGGGCTTGTGACAGATGCTAGGCTTGGGCTGTTGAAGGACTGGGTGTTTGATGTGGACGCTCCCCCATCTAATGCTGCTGTGGACAGTCCCGTGTGCCAGCAGCACTCCCTGATGGTTTGGATCATCTGTGTTGACTTCTGGGGTAGCGCATCAGCTGCAAATCAGGGGAGCTTTAATAATTGCAAGGGTGATTGGGGGCAGCCCACCCTTTGACTGTACAGAAGTCGTCCGGCGCAGGCCTTCATCTGTTCCTCTGACAGTTATTTATGGATTGCAGAAGAAGCAGCAAGTCCTCTGTGCCTCTGAGAGCCCAGGACCCCAGCATGATATTTGTCTTTCATCTCTATGCTCAGGTGGCTCTTCTGGTTGTTAACGGGCAATGGCTGCTGTAGGAATTGGGAAAGGAAGTACAGGGTGCTGCCTCTGAAAGTCACCAGCACAAGTCCAGCCCTGCCTGGTAAATTGCTACATCTGGTATATGGTGGATAACTGGTGTGAAAAATAACAGGGTCTGAACTGCAGCTGGCCCATTAATGTGCAGCCTGAACACAGAATCCAGCAAAGGAGATATCATGGTCTTCCAAAGGCAAGCCCTGCAGGGAGACGTGCTGGGGTATGGAGCTCGCTCTCTGGGGTTAAATAGAGGACTGCAGGACAGGGAGTCAGCAGCACCCACCAGCCATGATCTCAAAGTATGTGCTGGTTGGACAGCTGTTTACAAATGAGGCCTGAGCCTGTATCACTGGCCACAAGTGCTGTGGGGAGTCGCTTGTCTCTAGTAAGGCTCCATGCTCTGACCCCCCTGAATGCTTGTAAATGGGCCTCTGTCCCCAGGAAAGGTGCCTGCTAGGCAGGCCTGGTGACATTTTGGTGTGCAAAAAGCAGGCCTAGCATTAGCTGCATGGGGCTGAGTTGTTCCTCTGATACTCCCACCCTGGTCCTTGTCCCCTCCTGGGAGATGGCGGTGACTCCTGTAGATTCCAGAAGGTCTGCATTTGAGTTTGGGGGCTAAGGGCCATCCCACGGCTGAGGCATCCAGCTGTGAGTCAGGAGCTTTAAGTTGTAGCCTGATTCTCGCAGACTTGCTGTGCCAAGCTAGAATGGGAATCATGATGTCCTAGAGGTGCTCTGAGGACAGATGAATTAATGCTTCTAAACAGGGCTGAGCTCCTTGCCAGGGGGTGAGGAAAGACAAGGAGTTAGTGTCTGTTTTGAACTTTCCATCTCTTTCGATCCCTTCTCCCATCTGTCATGCTCTTTGGCATTTAGCAGCAAGCATCACCCACCATCTGAATTTACTGCCTCAGGTGGAAAGTGGCAGGCACAGCTGAATTCCCAGAGAATCTCCCCAGAGAGCCCTCCCTGTGTCTGAATGGTGTGGGTGGTAGAAAACTTGCTAGCTTTCCACCCCCTCTTTAGTTGCATTCTTGTCTGTCAGAATCTGTTTTGAAGTATTCATAGTCTTGGCACCAGCTGCACACACTTATATGCACACAGCAATCTGGTGCACACCCACCCAAACAAAGCAGGGTGATTGCATCCACTCAGACACGGAACAGGACACTATCAACACGCCCACATATATGGCAGCATACTGTATGTACACGTGTGTACATGCAGGAACAGTATCCCTTATACTGTACCACTGCTTGCATACACAGTGTGATTAACTCTCCAGTCACTTCCTCCCAGAAGTATTAACTCCTGCTTTTTCCATACTAAGGTCACATCTGTGTTGGAAAACTTCACCTGTTCCATCTTTTTGGAACATAGCTGTCAATATTTGAGTTACTCAAATGCATCCTCATAGTGCATGGCTTTGTCACCAAAAGCTGTGGCACACTATGAAGAAGCATCCCAATGTCACCATCTGATTCTCTGCTTTGTGGGGACATCTTTGGCAATGCATTGTGAGATACAAGTGATTGCCCCTCACTGAAGCCAAGTTCCCATGACATTCTCTGTTCCATAACAAATTCCCACTGTTCCCTCTGGTCCACCCTTTTTTGTACTGTTTTCCAATCTCTGAGTCACTGGACCAACAGGACTGTGGATACTGGCTAAATCAGCACAGCTCTTTTGCCTTTGAATATGAGCAACCACCAGTAGTAAAAATGAGAAAACCAAGAAGAAGAGAGCCACAGGCAATGCATAAAGATTGCTAGGTGCTGCAGACATTCATCACCTACCAGCTCGAGAGAGAACGGCAGTTCGAGGTCTATGGAATGAGCATCGAGTGGTGGGACCAGCTTGTCCCAAATCTATATCACAGCTGGCACAGGCTGCAAACCTTTGAGATGTAGAAGCCAAGTTCAGGAAAATGTATCCCAGCCCACCAGCACATAGACACCAGAGGGAGAACTGCTCTGACACTGGAGAACCAGGTGGGGCACATGTTCGGGGAGCTTGCTTACTGACCGTTTCCAGCCACTCCTGCAGTCAGCGTGGGGTTGGTGAATCTATGGTGGGGGTGGATTTTACCCAGGTTGAAAAGACTGTTGATTGTGCCAGGTTGCACAGAGTGACTCTGGCTGATGTGAAAGGTCACAGGGAGAATAGGAGAACATATATCCTGTTTTACTTCCTTCTTGCCCCACACCTTACCTCTGACTGGTAAGGTGAGATTACCACCTCACAAATGGTCACCTTTCCATGGTACAGCAAGTGCTGGTGGTATCTCAGACTGCAATGCTTGGTAGTAAGGGAAAATGAATGATGCTCCTATCTGTAGGAATATGGGACTTTTTTGCAAAGCTGCAAATTGGGAAACTTCCTTGAGTCAGGACAAATATGCTGCTGAGACGAGATGTTGCTTTGTCTCAGGCGCACCCAGCCTACCTCTGCTCCCCTGGCTCATGAAGCTGTGATGTCAGGCACTGCATCCAAGCAAGTTACATAGCACTGGTGCAGCTGCAGGGTGACTGCTGCAGAAACACTGGGGGGTTTTCTGGCTCCCCTGGTGGCAGGTGCTGGGGAGTGGCTGTTCTGGAGGCGGTGACCATTAGGGGAGTGGCAAGGGCCATGGTCTCCCTGTGAGGAGACAGGGAATGGAGGTTCCTGGGTGAGGGAAGTACCCATCTCTTGGTCTGCCCTTTCTTCCAGGACATGCTGCTTCCACATCTTTCTGCCATAGGAACCTGACTTCAAGCTCATGAGAAGTTCATGTCCCTCCATAGCCACTTTTCCTTCCTCCTGGTCCAGGTCAGGCCTATTTGATGCACATAGAACTGTGGGCATGAGCCCACACAAGAACTGTTAACCCCTTGGTTGTTAGAGGGGGGGTCACTAAATGGGCAGCAGAGTTCTTGGGACAACTAATGCAAAAACAGAAACAAAATTGTAGGTCAACAGTAAATAACAAGTGCTCCACAGGCGAACGTGAACAGAGCACACTGCCTAGCACCCACTGGCCCTCAAACAAGTCCTTGGTCCAGGTCAGGCTTTGGCAGATGTGGGTGCCCTCTCAAAGACACCCCAACTGAGGCCATAGATAACTAGACAGATGGTGTTAAATATAAAACAATCATACTCCCACTTTCATCATCTTGTCACCTGAGCCTCTTTGCAGACAGTGTCACAAAGGATAGTACATACACGGTTGCTTCCTAGTACCCATCCCTTGGAATACCATTCCTTGGACTGGTGTTTCCTGCTATTGTGGATAATGCAATGTATGCTCTGTGTAGCTCGATTCATGTTAACTGATGGACTGTCGTGGTTTTTGTTTTGGACTGGAGTGTTGGCCAAAGTGCCCCTCAGGCTGCGTGGCTGTAAACAGATGGTTCATATAATGCAGGCTTGATTTGTCCCAGTTTTGACTCTGATCAAAAAGCAGCCCAGTCCTGTACACGTTGCACTTTCAAGGTGCATTACTGCACCTCTGCAAGTATGTGAGGAGGGAGAAGGCACACAGCCTGACTGGCTTGGCCTTGGAATGATTGGAAGTTAACTTGAATGAGCCAGGATTCATTTAGGTTTACACAGCATTGTCATGTGTCTTGTGCAGCCCCCCCCCCCCCGC